TTTTTTTTTTTTGAGACAGGATTTCACTATGCAACTTATCCTAGAACTTAGTTTGGAGACGAGGCTGATCTTAAATTTACAGAAACCCAACTTCCTCTGCCTCCCAAGTTCTGGGATTAAAGGTGTGCACCAAGCTAACTGGCTATTCTTGGTACTTTCAATAGAAATACAGGTAACTATAAACTTTCCTCTTAGAACTCTCTGCATGTATTACAAGTACTTTGGATTGTGTGCCTTCATTTTCATTTGTGTATGGCCTTGTTATTAAAATTCAATTCAACCTACTCTTTTTTTGACATTGAAACCTGGTTCTATTTCTCTGTGGTTTGATGAAAAGACACTTTAAATTCTTTTATATTGACTTATAACCTGGAATGTAGTCTATTGGTGAGAAGATTCCACTGAATGCTGAAAAGAATGTGCACTGTTTCTGCTAGGTAACGAACGACCATTTGATAAATGTATGGTTTAACTCGATTCGTTCTTGCTGAATTTTTTAATTGGGTAACTTGAGGGTGGCAGCGGGGTATCAAAACCATCCGTCTTTGCATCTTTACCTCACCCTTTACCTCTATTAGTATTATGAAATAGAAATCCACTATGTTTTTACATAAACATGTACAATTGTGTCTTCTTGATGAACTTTCTCCCTTAGTATTATACAGTACTTTGTTTTCTGAATAGTTTTGTAGTTTATTTCATAAGATATCAGAATAGCTGTGCAAGTCTATTTTCATATTCAAATTGCTTGACAGATTATCTTCATCCTAAATTCCAGAGTGTGGGTATCTTTACTAGTAAGATGTTTCTTGAAGACAACAGACTGTTGGATATTGTTTATCATTCTAAGTAGCTGGTCTGTTTTTACTTATTTGTATGCTGAGGCCATTTACATTTAATACTAGTAAGAAATAATTATTAATTCTTGTAGTTTTGTTTTTCTGATTGGTTGGATTACTGTTTTCCCTTTACATTTTCCTCTATTAGAATTTGTGATTTGCTGGTTTGATTTATTAGAGCAGATAGATTCCTTTAAGGGTCACCTTTGTGTATCTGTTGATCCCATGCTTCTGTAGTCCCATGATTAAGGGTGTTTTCTTCTTACCTCATGCTTAGTATTCTTTAAATATCTCGGCTTGGTGGATTAGTTTTCATGATCTTAGTATGTACTTATTCGAACTGTCCTTATTTCTTCATCAAATTTAAAGAATAGCTTTTTGGACATAGCAATGCTCTCTAGCAGTTATTGACTTTCCTAGCTTGAAATACATCATTCTTTAGTCTTCTGGCTTTTAGAGTAACTAGTTAAAAAAACTGCTGTCATTTTGATGTGTTTACCTTAGTTGACATTTTTCTCTTTCCCACAAGATTATAGAATACTTCACAAATTAGCATGTCATCCTTGTACAAAGGCCATTTCAATTTCAAATATATATGATGACAAAGCCATCACCTAAATGTTCATTTCTTATTTAATTTAATATAAGCATATAAACATTGTTGTACAGTAATGGTCAACCCTACCATCTTGCAGGATCCACTATTAGTTTAAATAGCTGGAATTTCTTTAGGCTCTTCTATATAGCCAATTGTGTCAACAAAGAATGAAGATAGTTGTATTTCTTTTTTTATTTATTTCTAATCCATCTGAATTTTATTTCTTATACAATGCTTCATTGATTAGGTACACAAGAAGATCTATACATACTTGCTTTTTTCTCAGTGTAGAGAGAAATCACTCATTTTTATGATTAGCCATAAGGTAAACAAAAACACACACACAACCACATATCAGCTTAGTGAATATTTCTTTGTTGTTAGTTTGCAGAAAACATTTTTAAAAATCATGAAGACTTTTTAAAAAAATATTTATCTACTGCGATAATGTCATTAGCTTTTACATTTTGTTAATATAATCAACAGAATTTGCATGCAAACCATTTACACAGATCAAATAAAGTAGTCTAAACAATTTTAAATATGACTTGATTTTAACAGTCAAGTCATTTGGTCTTGCAATTTTCTTCTAAGAATATGATCCAGATTTCTATACTGGATTATGAAGCTATTCAGGTTAACATTTTAAAGATGTTTTGTGTACTTTGATAGTTTGTGGCTCTGAAGAATTGCATACTGTTGTTGTTCATACTTTTTAACACTCGCATCCTTCCACTCTTTGTAGATCTATATTGATAACTCTAATCCTTTGTTTTGGTGTGTACTCACCATTTTATGTTCTTGTATATTTGTATGTGGGTATGTGAATGCATGTGTGAAGGCCAGAAGCCAGTCTTAGGGGTCAGTAGTCAGAGGTGATAGCACTCATTTTTGAGACAGGGTCTTTCACTGGGACCCGGGGCTCAGAGTAGGCTAGGCTGGGTAACAGATGAGTCCCGGGATTTTCCTGCCTCTGCCTCCCCAGCACTGATTAAAAACATGTGCAATTGCACCTGGCTTTCTATGTGTGTTCTGGGGATAGAACTCAGGTCTGCATGCAGCAAGCACTTTACTGCCTTAACCATCACCCCAGTCTCTTTAATACTGACTGATAATTTATGTTCCTTCCAATCTTCCTCCTCCTTTTTCTTTTCTTGTCCTCATGGCCCTTCCTTCCTGATTCCTTGATCAATCTAGTTAATGGCTTTTTAATTACATGTTGATGGTTTAAAGAGTCAGTTTTTTGTTTCATTTATTTTTATTTTTTATATTCTTTTTTTTTTGCTAAAATAAAGTTTACTTAACAGGCCTTCTAGCCTTTAAAAATATGGATGTTTGTATCATTGAATTCTCCATTTTTCCTATGTAAGTAGCTCTTCATTTCATGGTGGATACACAATAAACTTAGTATGCTTTCGACCTTTTTTGTAGTTTTGAGAGTCAAGGGCAGGGACTTATACAAGCTATGCAAATGTTCCACCTCTGCACTTCACTGACAGCCCTCAACCCTTTTTAAACAGATGAAACATTTTATGATGTTAAATACAGTCTAACTTTAGGAATGTTCCACATATACTTTTTAGATTGTATATTCTCTTATTGTTAGTTGAGTCACATGTGTCAATTAGGTTAAATTGGGAGGTACTATTCAAGTCTTTTACACTATTAATTTTCTACTGCATCACCAATTACAGAGACATTTTAATTCTCCAATTAAAACTGCTAGGTGGATATGGTGATGATCGATTGTAGCGTAGGCTACTTGAGAGGCTGGGACAGGAGGAAGAAGAAATTGGGGGCACCCTGGACAAGATACAACATTTCATCTTTAAAAGCAATATTGCTTATTTGACTATTTCTGCAGTAATTTATATTAACAATATATAGTTATATTTGTATCCATGGAAATTGGTTTTTATTAAATAGGCATAATAGTAAATATTGCTACATCTTGACACAATTAATATTAAAAATAATTAAAACGTTGTCTGATTCACTGTCCATAACTCTCCTTTAGTCCTTCTCATTTCTGCATAGATGCCATCACAGGAGTATATACTTGACAGGCTGCATCTTTGCCTTTTTTTTTTTTTTGGTTAGTTGTGGCCAATGACAGTGAAACATAGAAACATAGTGCATAGAAAGAGAATTGAGTACTTAATCCTTTCAGTTCTTTCCTTGCTTGGTTGTGGGGTAACAGTCACTATGCTTCTCTGTGAATGCAATCATTGGTGTGTGACATTAAGTTAGGTGACTGTTTTCTACAGGGATAGATCCCATTTCTCTCTTGTAATTCTCGTTTACATTTACCCTTAGGCTGAAGAGCCACAATACATCTTACCAGCTGTGGGTGCTTAGCCATCACACTTTGCAATCTAGTCCGTTTGGGATCCACTTTTTAAAGTGATCCTTTTAGCAAGTATCACCTTAGTCCCCCTAGGTCTGTTAGGAGATTCACACACATTGAGAGACTTGATTGATTTATGAATACAGATTATTTTGTTCTCATTCCAGTTACTGGATTCACACAGGTATGCTAATCAACATCAGATATTTAAACGAACACATCAGGTAAGAGTGTATTTGGAAAACTGGTCATATGGTAATTAAATTGTCTTAACTGCTCAATAGTCTCATACTCAGGCAACATATTCTTGCGATTATTGAGACCTTCATGATAGAGATTAGACAAGTCAACACTATAAATATGACGCAGCACCCAATAAAAAAGCATCAGGTCTCAAGTGCACAACTGACCTGCACAAATACATCATCCGTAGCCCTACGCTGTGGCAGGAATAAAGATAATGCTGTTATTTTTCTTTTTTTCCTCACTTCATCCAATCTGTCAGAAAATAAATTGTATTTAATTCAAATAGACAAGAGTTAGGATAGGTTCTGTAATGAAGCGGACACAGGTTCAACTATATATTCGAATTACGGCCAGGATTAGAATTCAAACTTTCCCCCTTCCATCTCAAGATGGTAACAGGCAAATGTGTCAGTCATCTATCTCTTGGTTTCGCTGAAAGAGCCCGAGAAGTCAACTTTAAAGAACGCTTCATCAAGGAAGACGAGTGGACTGCGTATTTCACCAAACTGCAACTCTGTCGAGACGCGCGTTACAAGAGGCGTAGACGTTGTCATGCCCGGGAAAAAGCAAGCCGATTACTCAGTGTCTCAGCACACCGGCTTCTCTTTTCCCCTGCTCTCCTGGACCACGCCTCCTCCATCACCGGAAGGCCGGAAGAGGACCGGGGGCGGGAGCAGCGCTTCCCCGACCGGAAGCCGATCCCAGCTGTTCTAGCACCCGCCTCACTTCCGTCTAAACCGAGAACTCCCTTTTTCCTACGGAGGTCTCTCACCTCGCCAAGTCACAAACGTCCAGAGGAAAACAAACTCGGGACTCCGCAATCCGTCCCGACCGACAGGCTCCCGCGAGATCTCGGGCCCTGCCACTACCTTCACCGAAGACATCGCGAGAGAGGGCGGTGTCGGGGGCGGGGCAGGTGCGTCGGGGGCGGGGCACGCCATGGCGGGAATTTCGCTTGTTTCCGGTTTGCTCCGGGAGGGTTCCGCGTTCTGGGTCCAGTCCTGCGGGTCTCCGGGGGAGCGGAACGTTCGCTGCACCCGGGCCTTTTCCGGCACGGAGGCCGGCGCTGGAGGGGGCAGAGGCGGCGGGGTCGTCCGCAGCATCCCCGTCCGCGCCAGGAGAGCCGCCTGAGGTGCGTGGGGGCCTCCGCAGCCACCGGTAGCCGGGAGGGAGCGAGGGCGGCCCGGGAGGCTCGTCCGCGGGGCGCGGGAGGACGCCGGATGTTTGCAGACCGTTCTGCCTCCTCGGGTTTCCCCGCCGCAGTTTTGTCTCTCCCGGGTGCTGAGGGCACGTGCGGGTTTCCGGCTTCCCTCCCGAGCCTTGGCGGTGACCGTGAGGGACCACGGTGTCATTTCAGGGCACCATGTGAAGGATGGACGGCGGTTCGGCCGTGTCCGCCACGTTCCTGACCGACAGTTTGGAGCTGGAGCTGGGCACGGAGTGGTGCAAGCCTCCTCGCTTCTCTTGTGCTTTCGACAACAGAGAAGGAGCGTCTTTCTCTGGAGAGTCCTACCTTGCCAGTGGCGCTCTTAAGCGGTAGGTAAAAAACAAAACTAATTGAAGGTTCCCCAAGCAGTGTTTGTTTAATTGTCGCTGAAGCCTAAACTCTGGTGTCCACCAAACATTGCTTGGTATATATAGTTCTCAGCAGGTTCCAGGCAGGGTTTGCGCCTTGTCTGAGTTTTGAATATTAGGGAGATCTTTTCTTGGTCATTGATAATCTCTTTGCTTTCTGAGCAGCCTAGGCTGTTGGAGTTGGTGTTGCTTCTTAAGGACGGCACCGGTCTACAAGTTTTCAGTAGTTTGTAAGTAGGATGCAACTGGTTTTTTTGCTGCTCTGGTGCTTTCCAGCCCTAAGTTATCTGTGCATGCAGAGTCATAGACTTAACATCCATTTAATAAGGGTAATTATTGCAGTAAAATGGCTGTTCACGAATTATTTTTGGTAAAGTCTTTTGAAGCAATTTTATTATGGAGGAAACCATTTTTTTGCAGATTTTTGTGGTTATACCCACTTAAACAACACCTTAAAAGCGCATTACATAATTTCATAATGTTATTCCCCAGGCACAATTCAGAATATTTGGTGATTTAAAAACCCATCCTGTTCAAAGATAATCCTTTAGGCTTTCCCTTTTGAGTCACATTGCCTTTAATCTATTTTACACAACATAAGGCATAAGATACCTAAGCATTTCCTGACTTATATGTGCCACGTATAGTCTGGATTCAATTGATAAGTCACCATCTCATTACAGGTTGATTTTAAATCTTGACCCATTACCAACTAACTTTGAAGAGGATACAGTAGAACTGTTTGGCATCCAGTGGGTTACTGAAACAGCATTAGCAACTTCATGTCGAGAGCTCTTCCATTTATTCAGGTACATGTATGTCTGTTTTTAACCCCAGATTCTAGATGCTGTCTAGTTTTACATTGCTGGGTGTTTCCCAATACTGATTACAAAAGCGTCAGGAATTGCTTTTGTTTTGTTCTTCTTACCATTATCCATATAATAGTTTTAAGGAGTAGTTTATATTGCTTTTCAGAATCCTTATTACTGTGTGTGCAATGCTAGAGATCAAATCGAGGCTATTGTAAATGCTAGACAAGTGTCTCACCACTGAGCTATACATGCATTGAATAAGTGTTTACATGCATGTGTATAGTACTCTGTACATGACGTATATGCGTTGTTTTTGTTTTTAAGACAGAGTCTCACTTGTATTCAGTGTGTAGCTTAGGTTGTCCTGAAACTTACAGCAGTGCTCCTGGCTCAGCCTGATGAGTGCTGAAATTCAGGCATGTACCATCATGCCTGGCCTTGGTTTTGTGACACCATGTTTCGAAGACAAGTATTTAAAGATTTGAACTACATTCTGTGAGCCCTCATAAAGAGTTGCCAGGGTGTCGTTGATGTATTCTGTATTTTTTAAATTTTTTCTTTGTAGGTTAAAATAATGAATGTGTGCTTGTATACCTGTATGCATGCATGCTTGGTGTTCACAGGTCATAAGAGGTCATGAATTGGATGATGTATGACTGAGCCATCGTGGGTACTGGGAACCAAATGCATGCTTTCTGTGAGAGGAAAAGTGCTCTGAACTGTTGAGCCATCTCCCGGCTCTACTACCTGAGAGAATAAGTGGAGTGGTTTTTCTAGAGTTGTAAACATTGTAGTGAATGAGTCTGTTTTCTTTTTGTTTGTTTTGTTTTGGTTTGGTTGGTGTTTTGAGACAGGGCCTTGTGTGTATCCCTGACTGTCCTGGAACTTGCTCTGTAGACAAGGTTGGCCTTGAACTCACAGAGATCCACCTGTCTCTGCCTCCTGATTGTTGGGGTTAAAGGTGTGCCCTATCACGCACAGGAATTGTTGCAGGTTACCCTACTAGGACACCACTTTGGGGAGGGGGTGAGGAGACATAGTTCCGATGACTTAGGCACTGGGAGTCAGTGTGTACCAGAGCATGCTGTAGACTCGTTTATTCAGGAAGTTAGGCCTGCCCTAATACCCCCTCCCAAGGTCCCATTGGTGTCTGCGGGTCAGGTGTCTCTCCAGCTCGAAAATGTGCATGCAGGCTGGCCTGGCACGAGGGACAGGCCTGGCCACAGTTTCTCCTACAATGAATGAGTCTGTCCAAGAGAATTTGGAGGCAAGTAGGGATGATGACATGGGATTACTATTAGGAATTAAAATGAAGCAACCTATGGTTTTATATATACACTTTTCATTTATGTAACTGTTTTAGTTTGCTTTTCTACTACTGTGATTAAAGACCATGACAAGTAACTTGGGGAGAAAAGAGTTTATTTAGCTTACAGGTTGCAGTCCCTCATCAGGGAAAGGCATGGTAGGAGTCTGGATATAGGATGAAGCAAAGACCACAAGGGAATGCTGTGTTCTGCCTTTTTCCCATGGCTTGCTCAGCCTGGTCCCTTTACCACCTAGGACTACATGCTCAGGGATGGCACCATATCATCAAACCCTCCCCCCATATCATCCTCAACCATTAATCAAGAAAATGTGGTAGAGACTTTCCTATAGGCAATCTGGTTGAGGCATGAAGTTCTTCCCAGATAACTAACTTGTATCAAGTTGACTACGAACTAATCAGGGCAGTAATTGTTTTTATTTTCTGAACTACTACATACTTGTATGATACAGTTTAACATAAAATTTAACCTTAAGAATGTTTGTTGTATTTTAAATTTCCAGAAGATAGACATGTCTCGTTGTTAACTGAAGGATGTATTTTATCCTAAAAAAATTTAGTGTCTGAAACTGACTTTTTTAAAACTTTTTTTTGATTCGCATTCCACTTATATCCCTTTCAAAACAAAACCAAATTTAAATGAAAAACCAAATCAAACAAAAACGAACAAAAGAATAATCTTGTCGTGGAAGCTTTTAATAAACATTTACAAAGTGAATTATAAAATAATGGAGCTATCCAGTAGTGTTAAAAACCCAACCCATGTAATGGCTATGCACTTTACATTGTGCTAAAATTTACTCTTTCCCATTTTTTAAATCAGGCAACAGCTATTCAACTTGGAATCCTTAGTTCAAGTCAACTGTGATTTTGGTAAGTTTATTGTGTTCTTAATCACAGAAGAAGAATGCCACTCTATTACACTGACTTCCATATGGGGCTCTAATGTGTAATTGGGGTTTCATAAAAATTTGAGGTAAGTGCTGTTTCAGAGAGCAGAGGGTCATGTTGGTACGGTTCAGCGACTCTCAACTTTTGAGCTTGAGACCCTTCTGGGGCCACATTAGAAGAGATCCTGGATATCAGATATTTTCATTACAATTCATAGCAGTAGCAAAATTGCAGTTAGGAAAGTAGTAATTAGATAATTTTATGGTTGGAGGTTATTACAACATGGGGCATTATTAAAGGGTCACAGCATTAGGAAGGTTGTGAGCCACAGTGTATCTGGTATTCTGAAAGAGTATGACATTTAAATTTTGTTGTAGGTGAGATTTAAAGTATTTTTGTCAATTTTGTAGGATTTAAGGTAAATCTGACTTGAAAAAACTTTTCTGAGAGGATTATTTCTTTGGAATCGTGGAATGGGGCGGGAAACATAAATAAAAGATAAAAGGTAACAGACCTTCCAGAACTCTGGTCATCCCCCTGCTTTCTACTTCTGTTTCCTTTTGGCCTTTAGTGGATTGCTGATTTTAGTGGAGTGGTACAGGTAGGTAGACTGTGAAGGAAGTTGAAGCACAGTGTTTTTATTGAAGGCCAGCTGTTTTTCCTTGCAACAGTTTCAGTGCAGTGTAGCATTTGGAGTCTTAACTTTGTGTTCAACCTGTGTTCTACTTCAGCTAATTATGTGTCTCTTATGTAACAATTCCTATCTTACTGATTGAGTTCTTGTAAAGTTTAAATGCCATTATGCATTTTCAGTATTTATCAGTGTCTCTCAAATGCCTAGCAAATAGAGATCACCTGGAACATGTTTTAGGTCAAATAGGTTCGTTAATTTACCAAAGCATTGTGCTTGCTGATTTGGATAAGATGTAAGGGTGATAGGCCTTTATTCTGCATTGGAGGGTTAGGGATCAAAGGCAATTAGATGAGACACATGAAGGAAGGCTGGGAAGGGCTCTCACTAATTAAAGTGGGCTTGATAGCATGAAGACAACGATGTTGTCTGTGGTGTTTGAGTGCATAGTGCTTTATTTCTGTGGTGTTCAGACATTATGAAGGTTTGACTTTACTATAACCACAGAGTCCTATCTTATTTTTGTATTTAATGAAAATTGTTTATTTTCTAGTATCATAGTCTAGCTGTTATCCCTATTAGTTAACTGTCAGATTCTTCTTATTTTCACAGGATGTTAGCACTAAATACAAATTATTGTTTCATTATTATCTAGTGAGACTGTTTCCTGCCGGACACACAAAGTACTTACTGCCTGGTGCAGGGAGTTCTTGTTCTGTCCCTTAGGGTCCCAGGCTTACTTTAAGGTGAGGCAGAGTTGACCCATCTTAAGTACATGAGGTATATGTATAATTATTGCTCATAACCTTGATGGCTGCTGACTTGTCTGTCAATGCTTTTTACTGATCTGTTTTTATTGTTTGGCTTTTCTCCTGGTTCTGTGATACATTTTTTCTGTGTCTTTGACTGTCTAGCAATGTGATATTGTGGTATATGTGGATTTTATATAGTTCTAAGAATTTTCAGCATTCATCTTGCTGGTTAATTTTTTGTTTTTGCTTGCTTACATATATTCTTTTAAGTCTTCCTGAGGTTTGTTTTCAGTTTTGTGAGGCCTTCCATAAGCAGCTTCTAGTAGCCTAGGGAGAAGCCTGGCAAACCTTTCTGATGTATGGTGATTTATGTTTTTCATTCCTGCTAATTAGAAACTTGAGCTGTTCTAACTGGTGTGCACTTTGTAGAGTTGTTTCCAACGTTCTTTAAGATGAGATTGGCTGTGTCCTTAAGTGGGCTCTGTCTAGGTTCTCCTTGGAATCCTGGCTTAGAAACTACCTCCCATGGGAAGCCATTATGATCATAAAGTTCTATCTCTAGAATAGAATTTACTGTCATGATTGTAGTACTTGAAAACTTGCTTTATGTTGTTTGTAGTTTCTAAAGTTTAAAATGGGGGATATAGAACATTTGAACTTTTTATTCCAATCTTGCCCAGATAGCAGAGGTTTTTAGCAATTTTTAGAGAATACTGTTTTCATGAACTGAGAATTGTGAAAACTATGTTTTGTGGTGCTGTGACAGAATACCTGAGATGTTTTAATTTATAAAGAAAAATGCTTATTTAAGTATGGTTCTAGAGACAAAAATTATATTTGGTAGTTTCATATTATAAAGGCACAACATGGGCCTCATAGGCACCTGGAAAAGAGACAAAGCATGAGTAGTGACCTCTTGTTGCAGCAGACCGCACTGTCCTAGTAAATAATGCAACCTGTGATGGTAAGATGTCATTCATCCTTCTTGATGACTGATCAGCTCTTCAGGCCCTTTTACTCCTAGTCTTAACCCCACCACAGCAGAAATTAAGTTTCATTGTAAGCTTTGGAGGGACAAACCAAACCTAAACTATAGCAAGGATCAAAAAGATTTTCCTTATTGGTGACATACCCAAAGAGCAGCTTTAATATGTAGCTGTTAGCATAATCTGACTATTATTTCCAACTGCAATTTTTCCAAAGTATTAGCAGTTTTGTTCATTTGAATTCAAACAAGTTCTATGTTAAATATGTATGGGAAATTTTTGCCTATATTTTTTACCCTGTTTTCTCTGCCTTTGTTTAGTTTTTGTCTCACATATTATAATTATCAGTGTTTTGCATATAACAGCAATGTATATAATTTTTAGTGATGTGGTTGTTAAAGAAATTGAGTGAAAAAGGTGGCAGAAGATGAGTTTAGGCGAATTATTCAAAGGTTATTTGGACCTTATAAATCATTACAAGGAGTTTTGATCTCATTTTATATATATGATTGGTAGCCTTTATGCACTTTGACTTGGAAGCAACAAGAAATAATTCAAAGGGCTAGATAAAGGATCCTTAAGCATGTACTATTCTTGCATAGGTACCAAGTTCCATCTCCAATGTTTACCCCTATCAGGCAGCTCACAGCCACCTGTCACTCAGGCAACACACAATCATGTGTCACTCCAGCATTAAGGATGTCCAATGGTCTTCCTGGGTTACCCACACATACCCATGCACAGATCCATAATTAAAAGAAAAATGATTTCTTAAAACAAATAATTTGCATTTTAAGCAGATTTTGCAAGTAGATTATAGGAAGGTAAAGCATATGTAAAGTCCTGTTGTGGGTTCTAATGAGAGACTAGAGAAAGTGGGTTATTTCAAGGCTTATTTGTTGTGAACTTTAGTAAGACTTGATAGGTTAGATTTAAGATAAGTCTGTAAAACAAATTTGACTTCTGTTCACTGACAGTTGTTGTTTAATCTATCTTTGACTGTGTCTATTTCCTTTTCAGGGAAGATAGCCACCTTACATTCCAAAGCAGACAGTATTAGACAGCGATGTGTAACATTTCTCCACTACATTAAAGTTTTCATCTTCAGGTAGGATAACAGATGAGTGTTTTTCTTTCTGCATGGATGTCTGTGGGTATATTCCATAGACTCTTGTATACTTACTGTATCAAATGCCTTTTTAGGTGCCTGAAAGTGCAAGATACTGAGAGCCACAATCTTCATGTCCATCCCTATGAGGCTTTGGAAGCTCAGCTTCCTTCGATGTTGATTGATGAACTTCGTGGATTACTTCTGTATATTGGACATCTAGCTGAGCTTCCCAGTGTTACTCTAGGAGCATTTGTAAATCAAAACCAGATTAAGGTTTGATTAGTTTGTTTTTTAAATTATTCAACATTTTTCTCCCTCAAGAAAAAGTATTCAAGTATAAGAAGAATTGATACAAGCATGGCATGAAATGAAACTCTGATCTCCTATCTGGTTAATTGTGTTGTTTTTTACTGTATAAATGTGCCTTTCCTTAGTTTCTTCATTTATACAACTTACTCAACTTCCAGGAGTTATGGGAAGAATTAAATGGTTTGCCTAAAGTGCTTACAATACTACTCTGAATCAATAGCTGTTCTCTATTTGAAAGTGTAAATGCTTAGAAATTTCAAATACAAATTACCATCTTTGAAATTTCTGTCATTCTCATTAGTAAAGGTTGGGGCAAATGCCATGTCATCTATATATTACAGTAAAATTTAAGAAAAGGTCCTTTTTTTTTTAAGATAGTGTCTTAATAATCTGAGGCTGGCCTCTGTATGACATTGGACTGCTGATCTTTCTGCCTTCTTCCCAAGTGTTGGGATTGCACACTCAAACTATTACGGCCAGTTCATGGAGTGCTGGATCCTGGGTCTTTATGTATGCTGGCACAGCAAACTAACAACTATACCCTTGTTCTCAAAGAAAAATCATTGTATGGAAAATCATCATATGGAATTATACACTTGCATGTCCTATCACAGCTTAATGGTAGATTATTTATCACATGCATAGTGTTGGGTTCAATCTTCAAGACTTCAAAGGAAAAAATTTAGATTTTGAAACCTACATTTACATATTCTTAGACTTTGTTGTAATGTGGTTGGTTGTTTTAACTGTGCTTCTTTTTTCTACTAATGATAGACACTCATTCTGAAGTTTGACTTTTTTAAAATGGTATTAATAGCATAGTGTAGTTTATGGGTAAATAACAAATCTGTATGTGAAAATTGGAGCATAGGTAAATGACAAATTATAATGCATGTGATTATCTGAACTTTTAATACCTCCTGTTATATTTGGCTTTACTAATATCAGTAAGTTTTAGTAATATACTTGTCAAAATTTATAGTTTGGTGAACTTTAACAAGAACAACAATATTGACTTTATCAGCAATCACTATGTAATAAGGTCTAAAATAATTTATAGGTTAATGTATTTCATCCATGGAAAATAAGCCAGTTACTGCTTTTTACAATCTGTCGCAATAAAGGTACATGGGTAGATTTTGGAGGGTTTCTGTAATTGGAGTGGTTGTATTTTCTGGATATCCATCAAATGCATAAGAAAATAAACATGGATTACTTATCTGTAAGCAGAAAGAAGCTGTTATCTGAGTTTTGTGGACATTTTGATTTGAGTATCTTGAAAAAATATTTACAAGATCAAGTATTAAAGCAGGAGAACTTTTTAAAATATAAAATATATACCAAAATACTGTTCTGTAATAAAATGCACTTTTAAAAACTTAGGCTTTTATATATTTTTATATACAGTATATCAATCTTAAATATGGAAAGCATTATTTTAGCTACTATTTCCAGTTGAGCATCTATCTGAAAAATTTGCATTGGAGATGTTACTTATTAGATATTGTATATCAGTTTATTTTATTTCTCTTTGTTTCTTTTTCATCAAGTAACCTGACTTTCCAGATAGATGATTGGCCTTTGTGTGTGTGTGTGTGTGTGTGTGTGTGTGTGTGTGTGTGTGTGTTTATACTTGTTTTTTTTTTTAATGTCATATTATTTGTGCTGTTAAAAATACTTTGAATTTTACATTTGTGGCTACAGTTCCTCTCTTTTACTATATGCAGGGGGTGGGGAGCTAAAGAAATGCTCAGAGGTTAAGAGCAGTCTGCTCTTCCAGAAGACTGGGTTTGATTCCCAGCACCACATGATGGCTCACAGGCATCTGTAACTCCAGTTCCAGAGGATCTCATGTATTCTTTCAGTCTCCATCATCATTAGGCATGCACATGGTGCATATGCATACATCCAGACAACAGCCATATTCGTAATAATTAAAACATATGTAGGGAGATAGAAAATCAATACTAGCTTCTGTAGATGGATGTGATAACAATGGATTGCATTTCCCTCATTGATGTAAAACGTCATATTTATCCCTTCCCTATTTTTGCTGTTTGTTATCTCTCTCTGTGCCACTGTTGTTTATTAGTCTAGCACTTTTGTGTTTGTATATCTGATAAGGAAAATCCTTCATCATTTTTTGTTGGTATTTCAGTGGAACCTGTTAATGTCACTAATGTTTTAGAGTGATACTCATTGTTGACTAGTGGTAACCAGTGCAGCATAGAGCTAAAGTTTTTCACTTGAGTTTGATAGAATTGAGTTTAAATACTCAATCATGAATTGAGAGAGAAATTTTTTTGCCTTTGTCAACTCCCCCCCCCCTTTTTTTTTTTTTTTTTTTTTTGTTAAGTTTTCCAGACAGGGTTACTCTGTAACATCCCTGACTGTCCTGGAACTTGATCTATAGACCAGGCTGGCCTTGAACTCACAGAGATCCTCCTGCCTCTGCCTCCTGAGTGCTGGAACTAAAGGTGTGTGTCCCTACCTCCTGGGCAACTTCCATTTCTTAATGAGGATGACTACATATAATTGGCATGATAGTCTGAAGTTCTCTTTTTCATATTTTGTGGTTCTTGTGCACTCACTGCACTAAAGAATTATTTCTTGGCAAGGTGTTAGTGGCGCATGCCTTTAATCCCAGCACTGGGGAGGCAGAGATAGGTGGATCTCTGTGAGTTCAAGGCCAGCCTGGTCTACAGAGCAAGTTCCAGGACAGCCTCCAAAACTGTAATACAGAGAAACCTTGTCTTGAAAAACCAAAAAGAAAAAAAAAAGAATTATTTCTTAGCTGATTTCTAAAGCAGAAACTGTATCTTAAGATTGCTTTATAGCTAAGTAGGATTAGTGGTCTATACTATGCCAGTCTGTTCAGCCATCCCAATAATGTTTCTGTATTAAACCAGCAAGGATCTCCAGCCAGAGAATTCTCTAATCAAGACAAAATTTTTCTGAGCCTTTGGATAGTTAATTAGTAGTTAACTGGTTCTTTATCTGTGCATGTACTAGTTTTTTGATGTGCAAAATACCTATTTTAAGTATGAATTTTTGCTATTAATGTCATTCACAGCTCTTCCCACCATCGTGGCATTTATTACATCTCCACTTGGATACCCATTGGCTGGTGCTAGAAATACTTCACATGCTGAGTGAAAAATTGAGTAAGTTTATGGGTTTAATTCTCTTAAAAAATCCAAACTTTCATTGCTTTTAAAACTGTAATTAGCCAGCTGAGTATGCTGGCATATCGTCTGTAATTCCAGCTCTTGGGAGGCCAGCCTGGATTAGATGATGAATTCTGGTCAGCCTGAGCTATGAAGAGATATCCTCTTTAAAAGAAGGTCAGCAATATATTGAATTATAAGTACTCAATGTCATTTTTTAAAAAAGTAGTTAAGGAGATGTTTATCCCCTCTTTTCACCCAGAGTATCTATTATTCAAGCCCCATAACCCCAGTTCCCCAGATAAATGGAAAATAGTTGAGTTTATTTTTTAGTCTTTGATATCTTGGCATATATGTATTCATTTTTGTTAATAACTGCAGGCAGTATGGGTGTACTTTTTAGCAGATTGTATGTGTATGTTTGTGTGTGTATGTGTTTACTTGCATCAGTAGTATGTTCACACTTTTGGCATGTATAGTGACCAGAAGTCAACATCACAAATTTCCACCTTATTTTTTTGAGTCCAGGTAGGTGTTTGATTTTTGTCTTTTGAGACAGGGTTCTTCTATGTAACAGTCCTGGCTGTCCTGGGATTGCTTCTGTAGACAGGCCTGTCTTGAGCTCACAGAGATCCACCTGCCTCTGTCTCTAGAGTGCTGGGGTTAAAGGCTTGGGTGACCACTGCCTGACTGAGACAAGGTCTCTTACTAACTGAACATACACGTACCATTTTGGCTTAGCGAGCCAATAGGCCCTCAGGATCTGCCTTCCCTTGCACTAGATTGTAGGTCCTTGCTGCCATATCCAGCTTTTGCTTGGGTGCTGGGAATTGTAATAGGGTTTATAGTGATGCAGCAGTGTTTTACCTGCTAAGATACCTCCTCAACTCCCATTTAGCAACTCCCATTTAGATAACTGTTTGGGAAAGTACTTGTGGTTTAGTTTTCCTGAGGCTGTGTTACACTAATTTAGCCATGTCTCTTTTTAATACTAGTTTCTGGATTTTTTAAATAAATGCTTTTCCAGAAGATACATATGTATATATGTTTAATTTCTATATTCTGTAAAATATTTTCTTAGACATACAATGGGATATTGACATTTTGATGTTAATTTTAGGTTATGTGCTTTTTCTTCAGACTCTTGCCAGTATTGGACTAAGTATTGCTGATGCATGGAAAGCGATACTGAATGTCTTCTTTTCTTAGGTTTTCTGGTTGTCATTTAGCTGCCACATTTCTGTAATTTTGATTTTCTGTTAGAAATTTTCTAAATTTTTAAGAATCTTATATTTCTAATGCTGTGAATTATTTTTTGTTTTTTGTTTTTGTTTCTGGTCTGTATCTATCTTTCATCTATCCATCTATCCATCTAACTACCGTCTATCTTCAGACAGAGTTTCACTAACTCTTTAGGCCCAGCTGACCTAGACCTCAGTATGCAGACCAGGCTGTCCTGCTGTACTGGAACTGAAAGAGAGCTACGTGTCTCCACCTTTGGAGTGTTGGGATTAAAGTCCTGTACACAGACACACAGATAAACAAAAGGCACTCACAGATTTATAATTACTGTACTCATATTTTAGAACAGTATTCATGTGGATATACAGATGTAGTACAAGTTTTGGTTATTGTTTACCTTGGTATGCTTTGCTTTATGCCACAAAACAATTACAAGTGGTGAACATACTAGCATCAATTAAAAGACTAATGTTAGCTGCTTTGTTCTTAGAGGACTGATGTTTTTCTTTTATTTTGAAGTGATAGAGCGGTAAGCTTTTCAAAGATGGCCTCATTAACATAAGAGAAGTCAATTAAACTGAATATAGAATTGGAAAAGATTTTTTAGGTAATGATTGGACCCATAAACAATTACTCTCAAATTGAACTTATAAAAGAAAATCTTAAATTGTGTTGTACTTTAGAGAAATTTTAAGAGGAAAAATCATTTTCTTGTGAGAATTAATAAAAATCTGTGGTTTTTAAAGTAGAATTTATTTTATTTTGCAGAACAAGTTGTTTATGGTCGTCATTTTATCAGTCAGGCAGGTGACAGTTTAACCAACGTCAGCCTATTTGAAGAACATTGTGAAAATCTTCTTTGTGACTTAATAAGCCTGTCGATCAACAGATATGACAAGGTAATGTTTTAAGAATTATTAATGTTTTAGTGGCAACAATCCTTAGTACATGTGGTTTAATATATAAGAATTTGAAATGGTTTCCATGTTAAAAAGTTTCTTGTTTTATGTTTGGTTACTGATATTGGTGAGCTAAATAGTATGAGAATGTAAATGCTTACATTTGCTAAAATATTTTTTATATATATGCTGGTATATATGTCTATCTGCTTGATATAAATGTTTACAGTAGGCTGGAATTCATCTTACAAGTTAATTTTTAAAGTGGTACATTAAAATATAAAGTTAAGACATTTTAATGTGGTAAATCATGTTTTGATAAACATACATTATATAAAACAGGTTAAAATGATCACATCTTTATCATTATGGTAAAAACATTCAGAATACTTTGTTTTAGCTTTTCAAAATATTTAGTATGTACCTACCTATCTTTACTTTCTGTGTACAGTTGTATACTGGAACTCCTTTTTCCTTCCTATCAGTAGCTTGAAGCATGTTTACTTTGCCTTATAACAAATGCAAATTTATTTCTAAGTTTCTGTTAGGAATCTATGGAGAGAGAGAGAGAGAGAGAGAGAGAGAGAGAGAGAGAGAGAGAGAGAGAGAGAGAGAGAGTCTGTCTGTCTTAGATGGAACTGACTGTGAGCTTCATTCATTCAACCCTATACTCTAAACAGGTGTGATGTAAAGAATGTTGTACTAGAAAATAGTTTTGCCAATGTCTCTTTCACTTTCTGTAGTTACTGTTACATTGCTGTGCTGATTTTAGTAGTCGCGACAGAGCTTATTTCTAACAAAATCTTAAACGTGTACTGCTTAACCCATGCTTGAAAAAAATTTTTTAAGCTGAAAAAACAGTTAGTGAAATGACACTTTTTCTTGAATTGAAAAACAGTTTAACTCTTTGTAACAATTATCCCTGTGACATATAAATAGCTCTGTTTCTTTTTGTAGATTAGGCCTTCAGAAGCATTAATGGTTAATCATTACTCGTGCTCCTGTGTTAAAGAATTGTGGGTTCTACTTATTCATCTTCTAGACCACAGAAGTAAATGGTCTGTTGCAGAAGTAAGTTGGACAATTGATATTTAGTTGTTGCTACTAGTTTGTATATTGAATATCTCTGTGTGGGAGAATGGCTACTCAAATCACATACAGTGTTTTGTTTGCATAGTAGGATATTCTGCTATATAGCTGTGTCTTCTAGAGAACATGCATTAATAGAGTATATAAGGGCATCTGTTACAAGAGATTGACTAACACAGTTATAGAAGCTGATCCTGGAATGTGGAGACCCAGAGTACTGACCACACAAGTTACAGTCCGAGATGAAAGACCTGACAGCCAGGGGAGCCAACAGATCTAGTCTTATTCCAAAGCTGCAGGGAGGGAAAAATTACACACCAACTTGAAGAAGACTTCCTTGATTAACAGGCAGCTTTTTAGTTTGAATGACATGTCTGATTAGTTGAAGGGATCCATTCACCCACCCACATTAGGGAGGGCGGGCATCCTGTTTTACTCAACCTACCAATTTAAATGTTAAATGTGCATCCAGTAACATTTAACTTGCTATCTTGGTACTCTGTGCCTGGTCAATTTGACACATAAAATGAACATTATTTATGCATATATGTACATGATAGGATGAGGTTTCTTGAAGTAATATGGTTTCCCAATATATTATGAAATGACATGAGCAAAGTGCAAGGATTATACTCTGCCACCTTTTATGTGGGAAAGCAGAGAAAAGGGTGTGTGTTCCCATGCGCTACTGTACACAAAGAAATACTGGAATTACAAGACGCTGTTGGCCTTGGTGAATAAAAAAAGCACAATTTGTTGAGTGCTGATGTAGAGGTGTCACGAGCAGTGGGACAGGAGCCACAGACAGATCTGCTGCAGCCTGAGGGGATCTCTTAAGAGATCTCTTCTGAAGTGAAGGTGGAATTCCTGACTTCACCTCAGAAAAGTATTTCAGGAGGAGTCAATAGGAAGCAGGATTGGAATTAAGTGGTCTGTCTATCATTTGTCTATCTGTGTATCTATCATCCATCTATCCATCCATCCATCATCACATCATTTCCTCCCTCCAGACCCTCTCTCTCATCTGTTCCCTACCCACTTGGCTCTCATTCAGATTAACAGTCTCCTCTTTATTTACATGTATATTTGTGTGTATGGGTGATTTTTCTTTGGGGAGGGCTGTTTTTCCCACTCTTACCTTTCCTTAGTTGCCTGTAGTGCCTTCTGTAGCATTGAAGCTTCCTGTGCTTTCTCCTTCCACATCAGTATGTCTCTTGATGCCATTCTTGTTCACTTTGTGCTTAGCAGCTATGCCGGGTACAACTCATGGGTGTATAACTCATGGGTGTAGCTTCTCTGACACAGCAAGATTCCTGTTTCTCTGACTCTTGTCATCTCTAATACAAGGGAAGGAATAAAATTGCCAGCGAGAATGAGGGCAAGCGAGCAAAGAGCAAGAGCTTCCCCTTTTCCATGCTTATATAGGCTGGCCCCAAAATGGTTGGCCCAGATTTAAGGCAGATCTTCCCACCTCAAAAGACCTGACTCTAGGCTAGGTCTTCCCACTTCAAACGATTCAGTCAAGAAAGTCTCACAGGTTTACTCGTCTACTTGGGTTTTAGTTAATTCCAGAAATATTCAAGTTGACAATCAAGAATAGCCATTAAAAGTGTACTTCATTGTCAACCTTGACAACAATCATATTTCCTTATCTCATAGTTATGCCTAATGTGATATAACTAATCTTGTACAACCTCAAATGCATTATATATATTTTAGAATAGATGGCAATGTCGCTTGAGGGACATTCTTTTAGTATCTCAAAACTTGAAATTGATAACCACTGATATTCTCTCAGTTGATGTTAAATTACATGATAAATCCAGGAAAGAAAATACAAATACCTTCACGAATACATACCTAACAAACTGACAGACACTTATCAGTTATAATCCTCATTTCTGCAACTGATTATGTGACCTTAACTTTATTATTATGTATACAGTGTTCTACCTGCATACCAGAAGAGGACACCAGATCTTATTATAGATGGTTGTGAGCTACCATGTGGTTGCTGGGAATTGAACTCAGGACCTCTGGAAGAGCAGACAATTCTCTTAACCTCTGAGCCATCTTTCCAGCCCCTTAGCTGGTATTTTTAACTACCTTTCTATATTTCATCCATCCTCAGCAAGAACCTCAGCAGATTCTTCTCCTGGAGGAGTGACTGTACCTTGATTCTTGAAGGATCTTTGCCCTTTGCCACCCTACCTGAATTAGGCTGTTGTAGTTTCCTATTGATTTTAGTCACATGATGTGGTAGCACCAAGAGATTCCCTGAAGGATCCCCTGCACTCCAAATATAATCTTTCTTACTTCCATTGTTAAGAAGCAATCCAATTTCCCCATGACAGTCTGGATCAATCACCTCTCCTAACACTACTACTCCCTTCTCAGTCTGTTGGCTTAAGGGAATCAGAAGCCCAAAGTGGCCAAGGTGAAGTCAGCTTCCAGTTCAGTGGAATGTTTGAGTGTTTATTGTGTCTCCTGGCAGGAGCACTCCCCACTGGAATCAAACTACACCTATTGCAGATGACATGGATATATAGATCTGGATCATATATTTTATATAACAGACCTCAAAATTTCTATTAGGAAACTTCTAGAAAAGATAAATTCAGCAGTGTTAGGATACAGAATCAACAATAGGGTATGTATTGTGTGGGGAGAATTCCGAGTGCTTGTTGGAAATCAGCACTTTTAGAGGTGGGAATACAGATCTCTGCATTAGTTGTTGTAGAAAGTCATTTCCCCAAAGATTAATTTGAACATAGTAACATAACTCTCTGACTACCACTTTACCTTCTGGACCTATGCATTGTAATTTTGTAGTACTTTGTTTAGTCTCCTTTAGTTCCCAACCCTATTAGGATTGAATTTACCTCCATAATAGGCCATTGGGAGGGCTATTCTCTTATATGGTTATAATAGAGACATCAGCTTCATAAGTAACCCTGTATACTTTTTTAAAAACATTTTTGAATCCAATATGATTTAGCATTTTCCATTAATAAAGTGCTTATAGCTACAGTTTATCTGTACTACCAAGTCCTCACTTGTGAAGTACTTTTTTCCATGACTGGGCTACATGAAGCAATAATAATAATTGTGCAATTTTTCTTCTTTAAATTGTCAGTCAGTGGACACTTTGAACTTGATTACATTTTCCCCTATGTAATCTTCATCAGTGACTCTTGTATGAACATTGACTCTTTTCATGGATAAGTTACTTTAACCCAATAAAAAAAGTTCAACTGTTGCATATAGTATAGATCCCCAACATATCCTGTGTGTAACATAAAGAACATTGAAAAAGGGACATGGCAATATCTTTAGGGCGTTGAATATCAATAGCAGCACTTCTTGAAAGAATAGATGGATTACAGTCTGAAGGTGGCACAAATGGTAATGTTTTGGCATTTAAACCTTCTAAATTTATAGAGCCTGGGGGTGGGGGATCCTCAATCTATCTCCCAATTGTTGACTAGTATTGTTATTGTTGCTAGATAATGTATTGGCATTTTTACCATATTTCGATTCCACATTCTTAGCACGTGGGGTTTTTTTGCACTTAGGGCAGCTAAGTCAAGGAGTTCCTTGATCTGGGCATCATTTGTTGTAAGGACAATTTATATTGTTTAAGTGGTCAAGGTCTGCCACAACTGAAACATTTTGCAGACATCTTCTGTCGTTGGACAGGAGGTTTCTAAAACAGCTAAGTTTGCTGTTATAGATCCCACATTTCTACATAAATCCTGAAAGAGTATAACATGTCTTTCTAAGGTCTGGTTATTCCTTGGCACTCTTCATTGGCATTATCAAAGCCAGCTGTTTTAATAAATTGAATTGGTTCTCCGTTTACTTGTTTTTCAATAGCATCAAGTTTCCCTATTAAATCCACATATGGCTCAGAGGGGCTTTGTGTAGTCAGATCCCCTGTCAATTTTCATGTAGGAGAGTTGCAGGAACATTAAGCAACTGATGATCTGGTGATACCTAGTTGTCTGTCAGTATTTCATTATCTGTCATTTCCAGGATTGTCCCTTGGTCCTACTTGTTGAACTTTTTCATGGGCTTTATTTGCAAGCCACATTTGCCACTGAAGAAACTGGGAAGGTCTAAGAATTGTTTTGGCAATTATATGGCAACCATTGTGCATTATTGCTCCAACCAAAACGATATTCAAAACAAATATGGAGTGGTCATTCCACAGGAAGAGCAAGCCCTTTAAAAAATATTTCATTATATCTATGTCTAATCCCTGTCAACCTTTTAGATTTTGCTGAGATGGCACTGGAAATACCAAGCACAAATTACTCATGAGATCGGGGAGGAATTAGTTAACTCCTTTTCAAACATGCTCTGTCTTAGCCTGCCGAGGTTGTAAACATAGCATTTTCCTAAGCTCTCCTAAATCCTCATCAAAAAGTGGAGAGAATCAAGATTAGATTATCAAAGTCCTCATCCCAAGCTTCAGGATCATCCTCAGGCAGTGGAAATTATATATTTAAAGGAGGCTCCAGTAAGAGAGCTGAGGGAACCATTACGGGCATAGTTGTTGGTAATCATCTTTGTATTCAGTTATCCCAGAAATATTTTTACAACAGTCCAAATTAATGCCCGTGACCCAAAATTGAATGGGGATCTTTCCCCCTTGTTTATATACCTTTTCTTTATTCTTTTGGACTGTACCACACTTCATCATCTAAAAATTCCTTTTTCTGCAAACCAGGGATTATAATCATAAGCATCTTGCAAACTGTGTAATAGTTGTGATTTTAATACTTGTGCTCTACCTTTTAAAAAAAACTGTACAAGTTTGACATAAGGCAAAGTCTTGCCTGGTTTTTGCCCTGCTGTTTCCATTGACCCCCTTCATTAAGGGTACCCACTCTTATCATAGCTGATATCAGGTCCCTGTTGGTGCCACTGTCACTGTTTTAGAGGTGGTGGGACCTGGGAGAATAGAGTTGTTAAATGAG